GATGCAGCACTCCAGTTTGAAAAAGACAGATGCACCCCTATGTTTATCGCAGCACTATTTACAATAGCCAAGAAATGGAAGCAACCTAAGTGTCCATCAGTAGATGAATGGATAAAGAAGATGTGGTACATATACACAATGGAATATTATTCAGCCATAAGAAGAAAACAAATCCTACAATTTGCAACAACATGGATGGAGCTAGAGGGTATTATGCTCAGTGAAATAAGCCAAGCAGAGAAAGACAAATACCAAATGATTTCACTCATCTGTGGAGTGTAAGAACAAAAGAAAAACTGAAGGAACAAAACAGCAGCAGAATCACAGAACCAAAGAATGGACTAACGGTTACCAAAGGGAAAGAGACTGGTGAGAATGGGAGGATAGGGAGGAATAAGGGCGGGGAAGAAGAAAGGGGATATTATGATTAGCATGTATAATATGGGGTGTGGGGGAAAGGGGAGGGCTGTGTAACACAGAGAAGACAAGTACTGATTCTACAACATCTTATTATGCTGATGGACAGTGGCTGCAATGGGGTTTTGCGGGGGACATGGGGTAGGGGAAAGCCTAGTAAACATAATGTTCTTCATGTAATTGTAGATTAATGATAACATAACAAAAAACAAATAATAATAAAAATAAAAAGATATTCAAAGGCCTCTACGAACTGTTTCCAAACTACCCTTCCAGCTGCGTTTCCCTCTTACCATGCTTCTTGCTGTCCACATTTTCATATCTCTAGGCTATTTATTTTTAGGTACTGTTTTTAAGTGCTTTATAAGGACTAACCCCTCAAGGAGGCTATTGTTGTTATTATTACTACTTATTATTATCTCAGCCACAAAGAAGTGAAGAAGTTTGTCCCAGGAGCAGGAGGCAGGATCAAAACCCATACAGCCTGCTTAGAAAGTCAGCTGTTAGCCACTCATCGAACCAAGTCTCCACCACTTTCTTCTGCTCCTACTGAAGGTGAATGCATGCGGCAAGCCTTGCTCATACACGACTGCCCATAAACCCCTTCCAAGCCTACAGTCAGAATTCCCTGCCCCTCCCCTGGGCTCCCAGAGCACAGAGCATACACTCCTTCGGGCAACCTTACTATAGTTTGGTCTGTTTTGGAGCAGCTGTACAACATTCATTCATCCGTCCCATCAACAGAACATGCCTGAGCCCCCACCACGTGCCAGACACCAGGACTAGGACTCAGGACTGATGGTCACCCAGGCAGCAGTCCCTGCCATGGCTGATAAAAATAGTTCTGGAATTGTACGCTCCACACACAGTTATAAGGCTTCCCAAGACTCAGCCTACTTACTTCTCTCTACAACCCAGTACTCCGATGAAAAACAACTTTCCCACAGTCACATACTAGTAAGTGGTGGTGTCCGGCTCCTCAGTTTGTTTTCCAGACAGACAGAAAAATCCCCTACAGAGCGGGAACTGCCAGGGCAGGAGCTAGGACAGGGGCTGCAGGAGCACCGAGGAGGGGCTATACCAGGACAATCTGACTGCCTTCACCTATACCCACTCCCCCCACTACAAGCTCCAAGAGGGCAGAGACCATGGCTTTTCCTATGGACTGTATTCCAGCATATCACCTGCAACCCAGTTTGCTACTGAATGGAGCAGAATTGTCAAAATCTTAGAATATCTGCTTCAAAAAATCCCTATTCTTGGGGTCTTGGAGAATTGAGGCTATGGACCAGCAAGAATGGAAATAAAGAGAAGAATGGAGTTCAGAGTCCTTAATTTGGATTCACTGAAAAAAATGCCATTCGGATTTAGTAAAATGCTGGGTTTGTGGACCATGTGTGTCCATAGCTTAGTCCCACTGGCCACTAATAAAAGCCTGGCATGCAAGAGTCCTTGCGGGCGGGTGCAGGCTCCCCAGTGAGAGGCCCCAGAGCCCACACTGACAGTCAAGATGTGCTCACAGTGCTCTAGCTTGCCCCCTAAGCAGCCCTGAAACCCCTATGTTTACCTTCTGAGCACATTCCGTAAACACTGAGGATGGCAGCCCCACTCCCAGTTATACAGAATTCTAAATTAGGGATCTGAGTTCATGTGGTTTTACTGATCATGCCTGTCTTCTGTCAGAACCCAAAGGGTCCAATTCTTGTAAGTCCTAGAGCTCTGACATCAAAAGGTAAGCAGAACAATAGGAATTTGAAAATTATGATGCTGAGAGCAGCCATCATTTCTTGAGTCTCTATGTGCCAGGCACTGTGTCAGCCTTTCAAGTACTATTTCTAGCCATCACTCAGCCTTGTATGTAGCTATTATTTGCCTCATCCAACAAACACAGAAACTGAGACTCAGAAAACCTGAGGGATCTGCCCCGAGCCACTCAACTACAAAGTAACGAAACCAAGATTCAGATCAAGGTCTGTCTGACTCCAAAGGTTTTGAATTATGCCTAACTACCTACTGATGATGGTGATGGTGATACAGAAATTATTTCCCATGATAGAAATTACAGTACCTGAGATTTTGTGGCCAGACTGCAAGTGCTGAAAGAGTGAACAGCAAATCGCAACAGGGCTAGTGCTGGAGAGAGTCAGCTTCCAGTGCCCCTCAACAGAGCTTCGTGGAATATGACTCAGGCTCCACAGTATGTGACCTCATAAGCACAGGCACAAGACAAAGCCCTATTAGGGTGTCACAGGTTACCAGGAAACCACACCCCCCAAGGGTCAGGGACACTGTGCTCTCTCCAGGCTGAATGAGCTGAATTAGCTTTGCCCACATCTGGGAACAGAGAAACACAGGGCAGAAATGATTTGCTGCCCTTAGGAAATCTGAAGCTGGGTGAACCATCTCTAGATGTTTTGAGGGATCCCAGAAAACTTCTCAGCCTCAGACCAATGTTATGAGTTAGTGGGACCCAAAAGAGCGACGTTTATGCTAGCGTTCCGAACTCGCTTCATTGCCGAACAGATGGTTTCTAGCTGATGCAATCCCACAGCCAAGAAAGAAAGTCCATCTACCACCCTTGCTTTGCACACCCACAGCGATGGGGCATTCACCCCCTCATAAGGCAGCCATCCCACTGAAACAATTCCTGGCGTCTTTATGGCTCTTCGGAAACTTGCCCAGCTGTAATCTGTCAAGGACAACTGCCACAAAATTAACAAAATGGCTGACTTTTTCAATAAAAATCTGACCTATTTTTTAATAGAAACTGACAGCTACGCTACACCACCACCAGTGTCCCCTTAGTGTCTCTTCTGTGTCCTCAAGAATGCAACCGAGAGGAGCACTTGGGAGAGCCAGCCTTCCCGGGCAGCCAGCCGCCCAGCGATCACTGCCAAGCCCACCTGGCTCCAGAGCTCACGGCCTCGCTGCCCGCCTCAGGGAGCTCAGGCGCGCCATTAGTGCTAATTGTTGTGGCTGCCAAGGAAACCGTCGCACAGTTTGCAAACAGGCTGTGCACACACCGTAGGCAAGGGAGTGCCAGAGACCCCAGCGGGGATGAGAGTGGCCCACGAGCTCTCCTGGAGTGCCATTGTTAGAGACCTTAGACATATTCTGCGGTTGATTTGTTGTTTTCTAAGGAACAGAGTCCCCCTTTCTGCTCTTTCTTGCCCATCATGGGGGCTGCACCCACTCCCAGAACCATCAAGGAGCAAGGAAGAGAGAGATCCACTCCACCAGGCACACAGCTCTCCCTCGCAGCTGGCCTCCATTCCCAGCAATTTTAAGGGGATGTTTTTAAAGACAGCATCCATAGTTTTCAAAGTCTATGTTAGGTTTTTGCCACCAAGACGATTTTCTTTAAAACAGAAATTCAGGGTAGGGATTTAATTAACATTGCTCAGGTGTATTTTTGAAGTGAAGACTACAAACTGATATGACCTATCTTCCCAAGTACAGAATTGTCAAAAACTAACACTGCTTTTCACATTCTAAAAGAAACCCACTAGAATCTAGTGGTGTTTTCTTTGCCACGGAGGAGTCATCGCTTCTTGGAAAAGTTTTCAGACCCACCCAGAACCTCCCTAGAGGTGCAAAGCCCAGTGTCAGATGGCGTTGCAGGCACATAACCCTGCTCCCCAGGACAGGGCCTCGTGCGAGGGTCCCACAGGGCAGTGCAGAACGGCCCACCTCGTTGCCCCCTTCTTTGCTCCTGTCAGCATCGCTTGAGCAACAAGACTTCTGGCCAAACTCCAGCTCTGGCAGAACTCAGGTAGGTTGTTGCGCAGTAAATTCAGGTTCCTGTTCCCAGCCGGAAGCACAGGACTTCATGGCAACATTTTATCAAGTTCCATGGTACCCAAAAATATTTCCACATGAGGGCGATGTCTTCAGACCCTTGGTGCTGACGAAAGACCCCTTATCAGCCACTTGGCTTGAGGCCCAGCCTTCTCTGGGTGGGGTTGTTCTCACTGGCCAGTCCTCAGCTCCAGGAGCAAGTGTTAAGGGCTGTGACAGAAGGGGGCCCCCCTCCCTGTGTGCAGACGGGAGTGTGACAGGTCAGTATGAGAACCTCATACAAACTAGGCCTCTCTTCCAAGTCCTGTTAGAAATCAAATGCCAGGAGACAAGGCAGGCCCTGGGACCTGAGGGATGCTGGGGGCACAGCAGCCCCTGCCCACACCCTCCAGACCCCCTCCTCTGCCTGGCCTTCCGGCCTGTGTCCTGAGCAAAGCAGGTCTCCTACACAAGCACTATGGCTGCATCCTGCCAAACTCCAGCGCCAGAGTGCAAGGAGGATGGAAGCAGAGGTGCTGATGTGTTTGTTTTTACATCATCTCATTACTGAAGGATCCCCATTTTGCTGCAGAACTCAAAGTCTCAAGCCCCCAGATCATTTTACCTGTTTCAAGAAGTAAATATCCCACGCCGTCCACCCCGGGAAGCCCAGTCCTGGGGGTTCGGCTCTTCTTTCCTCCCGGGTACCTCGATCCAGAGCAGCCCAAGAAGCTGAGGTGCAGGGCGGGGCAGGGCCAGAGCAGGGCCGGCGTGCGGGGAGGGGCGCGCTGGGGGGCGAGCCCTGCGCAGCTCTGGCTCGCGGCTCCGGGCGGGTCCATTGCCGGACGTGCAGGGCGCTAACGTTTAACCTCCT